CCCCAATACCCACACAGGTGCTGGCGAAACGTTAGGAAACAAAACTTCCAGAACACGGCCACACAGCCCGGAAGACCCACACCAGCCATCGTATGCCGGCCGTGAAAGCCTTCGACAATACAATACACATATATGTTTGTCTACTGTTAATTAATTGATCTTAATTACTGTTATTAACAGAATAAGAGAGGTCATGTTTTCACCCTATGAGGAATGAAAACATTAACTCCTGCTGAATTACTAAAATAAAATCTAACTAAAAATCTCCAGTGGTTTTTAACAGGTTGGTAACTAAAATATTATGTTGGTCCACATTAAAACAGATACTAATTGCCAAGTCACAAATGTAAAATACAACTGAAAGAAAAAAGTTCTTCACCCTTTTCACCTCTTCATTTTTTCTCTGGACCCACTCCTTGTGTTTCTCTTCAGCAATTAATCTTTTTCTTTCTCGTTCTTGCTTTTCCTTTGTTTCCTCCATTTGGTGATTCATTTCCTGTTAAAAGAGATGGAAATTATTCTTTGCTTCTTGATTGCTTTGCATAAAGTACAGCCAAGTTGGATCCAAATACAGTTCTCACTGCAAAGTACATAACATATTCATTTTATAGTAAGAAAGTAATAGCTTCCAGAAATCTCTTTTTGCTACAAGATGTTTTGTTATGGTGTGTGTGTTATGGTGTCTGTGTTTAATTTATCATAAAGTTTTCTCTGATGAATAACAAGTGTCCAGTTGTGTAAGAGGATGCATGAATGAAAAGAGTTAATGAGTGTCTTCAATACCTTGTCCTTCTAAACCTATAATTTAAGCTTGTCTTGGTGAAAGCAATAAATATTGAAGTCAGTCATTTCTAGATAATATCCACAGGCTGAAATTCATGTTTTGAGGCACATGTCCAAATGCTTTTTCTCTTCAGAACACCTGGACTTTCTATGAAGTTCCATTCTCCTAGATACCCAAAAATGTACTCAGTAGGAAAGGATTAACCTCATTTTCTTGTCAGAAGGCAGGGCTAAACTTTTGCAAACTGTGGAAATGCCCTGACCTTTCTTCTCAGTCATCCCACTGACTTAAGCTGCAAAATACAATGTGTGCATACACATACTGAACATGAGGTGAGCCATAGCCCTCAATGCCAAACATACTACCTTTAGTGTATTGTCGAAGGCTTTCACGGCCGGCATACTCTGAAGATGCCGGTCACAGGTGCTGGCGAAACGTTAGGAAACAAGACTTCAAGACCACGGCCACACAGCCCAGAAGACCCACACCAGCCATACTACCTTTAGTGTATTGTCGAAGGCTTTCACGGCCCGCATACTCTGAAGATGCCGGTCAACGGTGCTGGCGAAACGTTAGGAAACAAGACTTCAAGACCACGGCCACACAGCCCAGAAGACCCACACCAGCCATACTACCTTTAGTTCTGACTGATGGGGAGCAAGGACTCATATTGGCATCAATGCCCCCTATTGAGATAGATGAACTCTCCTCGAAATTCTATCAGAAACCTGTTTGTGCAGGCACTGAATAGTCAGATCAAACTCCTGATTGCTTCTTCTTTCAAGAAGAGCACAACAAATCACCAGGATAAGTATAGATAAGGTTCCCACAGATACTCAGGTATCTGACCACTGCTGCCATTACCTTTGTGAACACTGTGGATGCTGATGTTTGATCAACTGGAAGGGCCTTGAATTGAAACTTCTTTCTGTAAGCAAACCTGCAAAATCTACAGTGTTCCAGGTCCCTATTGTGAAAGCCTCAACTTATGGGACCTTGGAGGCATGCCTTCTCTGCTGTGATGTCTGCCCTGTGGAAGAGCCTCCCTGATGAGATTTGGATGACCCTGGCTCTGTTAGCTTTTCTGAAGACTTTAAAAAACTTACTCTTTCTTCAGGCCTTAGGGCCAGGATATTATTACTCCAATCTGTGTTTGGTTTGCCTGACTGAGTTTTTGTTGGACATTTGCAAGATCTACACCTTTAACAGTATTAACTATAGAGATTGTTTTTGGCTGTGAACTATTAGAAACAGGTGGCAAACTCTGTATAAGAGAAGTATCCTTCCTCTTACTTGTTTTGCTGCTTTCCTGATTTTACCTTTTTAGGCTCACTACTTATTCCTTGCTGTCTGGTATATTTATATTATTTATATTCTTTGTTGTCACTTTTGTATTGTTGAAGATATATTTTATATTTAAGTTTTCCTTCTGTATATTTTAAATAGTATAAAGGTTGATATTTATATATCTTGTCTCCTGTTAATCTCATTACCCCACAGTGTTTACCTGGTATCTTTGTTTTTGCATTGTTTTTATGTAAGGTGTTATGCTTGTTCACCACCCAGAGTTGACTGCAATATGGGTGGCCACATAAATAAGTTGTTGTTGCTGTTGTTAATCTCCTGCTCAAGTTCCCTGTGTGGAGGGATGCAAGATTCTGCATGCCCATTCCACTAATCTAATATTTCTGCTCTTTCCCATATTCCTGCTCAGGATATGTGAATGAGGCATGCATGCATAATGTCCAACACATGTACACTAGTGAAATGGAAATTATTTAGTGATATCATAAACTTTGTACAATTACTGGCTATATTAACAGACTATATTCAAACATTATGACCTAATGAAGATCTCACTGAGGCAGACACTGATTGGGTTTCATAATACATTGAGTCATAATGTAATTGGTTTTTGCTTAGCATATTGTGTGAACCCAGCCCTTAAGATTTGTAAACATGATTTATGGCTTACTGCAATGTTTGATCTCACCAACTGTAGCTTAGTTCATATAGCATTTTTAACAAAATCAAAGAAAACATATGAACCACAATACCCTCATTTCTTTACCGACAATGGTTTGGACTTAGGGAAGATTATTGCTTGAGCTTAGGCCAAACTGTCTTGCTAAAGACTACTCAGTATGTTTTATAATGAACTGAATATTTAAAGCAACATTTTTTTGCCAAAAAATCCTGTTTGTTTTCTTCTGTGACTAGAATTAGAAATTGGCAAACTGCAGGAGGGTTTACACTAAGTAGATAAAATAATAGTTATGACAATAAATCCCTTCCCCAGTCATACAAAAATCACTGATTAGTTAAAAATGTCCAAGAGCACAGATGGTGTTGAGATGACATAATCATCGTGAAATGCAGGTAGTGGAAACAATATTGAGAATAAAATGAATTGTATTATCTCCAAAAATCAAGTGGGACCGTTCTGAATATTACTAGAGAATAAGGTAAATTCATAAGCAAAAAGGGTACTAATACAAAACTTTTCAGAAATAAATTGAATTTTGAAAGGGATAAAAGCTCAACATATACCTCAGTCATGTAATAAGCTTCAATTTATCACAACATATATCAGCCGTAACATACTTTTACTTCTCATGCAAAGGGTTGCATTTAAAGTTTCATTTGTGTCAAAATGCAGCTTTGTTAGTTAATAAAGCAGCATGTCTTGGTTCAACCAATCATATCTCAGTGATAAAAGATATGAATAACCTCAAACAAGTAGTATCTTCACAGCAGAAATAAATAAGTCAGGAGCTAAACTGATAACCAATTAGTGTGGAGGGAACTAGCATGATATACCTTTTTTTCTCTTTCCCAAAGTAAAGTTGAAGATATGGGGTTATGTCATAATGGGATACAAATGTATTGTTGAAATCCTAAATTCAGTTTAATGACAATAACAAAGCATAGCATATCCATGTCTTAAAGCCAATCATCTCTTATCCTGGATCATATACTTTGGCTTGCCTGTGAATAGCACACATTCTTTCATGCATTAAAGCTTAAATACCGATGTAGGTAACCATTAAAAAAATAAAATAAAAGCATTAATTACACAAAAAATATTTTAAATTTAAATGATTATGAGGGAGTTGGATAAGTAAAATGTAGGCACCGGCTTCAATCAAGCATAAAATACAACAGAGCAAAATATGCACAATAAGCAAGTGAATCAAGACACAGTCAGCAAATAAAAAGCAAAACAAATATAAAGTCACTAAAATATAAAGAACAATCTGTCTTTAAAAAAAGGGGGGGGAATATGCATTTTGATGCCTGACAGTCTGTTAACTACAAAGAAAATAAGCTATGTATTCACCTCCAGAGCTTTTGTTTGTAAACGAGCACGTAGTTCTCGCTCTTTGCAAAGGAACCATTCTTCCCATGGTGAGAGATTAGTATGAACAGGCGACTGATTTTTTTTATTTGTATTTTTAATTTGTTCCGTACTGTGAATTGACAAACAAGAAATTAGATGCAGTAGTGCTTGTGAATACCATTTTAAAACAAATCTTTGTTTTCAAATAAAACAAAAGTAATATCGTAAACAATTCTTTAGAATATTAGTATAATTATAGGACTGTATACAAAGATCTGATTGCTTATGAGCAGGTTTCTCTCCCTCCAACATTCACCATGCAATCCTACAAATCTGCTTTGAAGGATGAAGACTCTGGAAATAGATTTGAGTGGTACACAGGGAGGAAGAGTGAGAAATCCTATTGAATGAGCGGAAGTTGGTGTAACCTTAGTAGATTTCATCCAATGTTATACAGACTTCCACTCATACAGCAGGATTTCTCTTTCCTCTTCCCTATGTGTATAGAAATATATAGTTTCTAAATAAATAGTTAATAAATTCAGTTAAAATGAAAATGCTTTCCTCCAATAAACTATTTCAGTGTATACTGGTCACAGAAGTTATGGCTTTTCTGAATTGCATTAATATACTGTAAACTATAATTTAGAATATAGTCAATGCACACATAGAATACTCAAATATATGCCAAAGAATATCAGAAGTCCAAGCCCATGTATTTCAGGATTATAGATTTTTCATGAATAATTAAAGTGGGTGGAAGGGAGGAGTGATATAACCTGTTAAATTCATGATTTGATCTAAATACGTATTTTCAATATATGTGAAAATGATTGCTAGGTCCCTAAATTCAATTTTAGTTAAAATAATATATATTATTATAAAAAATAATCAGGATATTTGATCTATAACTTACTAAACAGGTCTTTATGATATAGTAAAATGAGCTCTGATCTTATCATGTCACATTGTTTGCTAGTCTTGAATATGTAATAATTACCATAGTTCCCTGGATTTTTTGAAACAGCCACAATATTCAGATGTATGCTTTTGCTTTTTAAAGATGCCACAACATATGCATTAAGTTAATTAAAGTCTACATTTAATAGTTTATTAAAGGAATATCCAGTGAAGCAAATTGTTCAAGGATAAAGTGTTTCAGAGCACATAACATAGCTATCTTGCTAAAGTAAAACATATCTGAGTTTTCTCAGTGTATGGATAAGAGACCTACTGAATATCATGATAGAAGTTGGGACTTAATGGTAGATAAATATTAATTAGCAGCATATGATGTCAACACATGATGGCTACTGAAGCAGTATTTTAATTTGAGGAATATACTGAAGATCATAAAATTATTACATTACTATGACACCATGACACTATTTCAAATGAGGCAGCCTTGTGTTAGAATACCAACATTTGTTTCCCTAAATCATTAAAAAAGTATAATAGTTATCAGTTTAGGGTGGGGAGAGGAAGAAGAGTGAAGTTTCTGTCCATCTTTTTTTTGGTTGGGAAATTAGTTAAAAATGCTATACAGAGCTTGTTTTTAAATAAATGAGTTTAGATGAATGATGTTAATGAGTAACTATAATTCATCAAATACATTAAAAATAAATTAAAAATGATAAAAAAAATAATATATAGTTAAATATAATGTAATTCAAGTACATTTATTTTTCTATTTCTTTTTAATACACATACATTTGCTACAAGCATTAGGAATATATATCAAGCTCTCTCCTCTTATAGTAAAGATAAGTATTGTCAAATATTACTATTTTAGGCAACTGTTTCTTCAGCCTTCCCAACCTGCTCCCTTTCAGAGGCCCATTGGCCAAACTATCCAGGAATTCTTGGAGGTGCAGTCTCAATACAACTGTACAGTATCAGTTTAAGGAAAGTGGTCCATATCCCAGGACTATTATTTTTGCAGTTTAGCTCTGGTTACTCAACAGCTTTGTTTTCCTTACCTTTATAACCCTGCTTGTTTAATCTAAGCACTGTCTTTATAATAGTATTTATTTAATCCAGGCTCATTTGATTTACTAAAAGCCCAAACATGGATATTTAACAAGTAACTAAAATGGACAAAATTATCTTTATAAAACTATTTACTTTCAATGTTATGCAAACCACTCATGCAATGTTATCTGCTTTTGTTCAATCCCAATTTATGTATCGCAGTCTAGTATGGAGGATACTCAATCCTCCAGACCAATTTTCAAAAAACCTAATGTGTGTACCTTTCTTGGATGTGAAGGACATGCATATAACATTTTTGACATTTCCTAAAATACTTAGTAATCGCTAAGCCTTTTTTCAATTATCATTTACTGGTATGACCATTTTAACGTTCTAACTTGACACATCTTCTCTATAGAAAAGGAATATACAACGAAATAGAAATATATTTCTAGGGAAGAAGTTTGATTTCCAAGCTTTATTTACCTGAAAGATGTACATATTCAGTCCAATATGGCCCTATGCAGTATATAAAGTAGAAACCATTTTTTTCTAGAAATTAATATCTAATCTCTGTGTAAAATAGTGAAGATTAGTCTTGGGGGCAAATATGCCACAAACAAAGCCAAGCTATTTAAGAATATTATGATGCACTTTGGAGTATAATACATGCTACTTCCAGTGCTTTGGTGTACCTTTGCTTACACTTTATTAGGGCAACAATAAACAGCAACACTGCACAAGAGAGAAGAACCAAGGGAAAATTTAGCAGCTTTGCAGACTTTTAGGCCTTTGCCAGTAGTGATACAACTCCTCGTTGCAGTTTGTGGCACTTAGGACATCTGGATAAACAAGATGCTTTCCACAAATATTAAACATAATTATCTGGTCACAGGCTGCACTTGGATTTTATCATATTTAATAATTGTATTTTATGCTGTATTTATGTTTTTATTGGTTTTAAATTGTTGGTTGTGAACCGTCCAGAGTCCCTCCTTGTGGGGGAGTTGGGCGGTGATATAAATTTGGTTTATAAATAAATAAATAAATCCCAGTGGCTTCCAAAGTACTTGGGCCCCCAACGGCTTAACCAGAAACTGCCTAATAAAAGTAGAAAGTTGCACTGTGGGTGACACATTACCTATCGTGTTTCATCTTCTGAGGGATGCTCGACCCCCTGCTAGTTGGTGTTGTGTCTCCCTCTTGCCCCTCGTGGTGGAAATCTGATAACTCTGGATGGAAACTTTCAGAGATCAGGGAGAAAGTGGAAGACTTCCCGGCCCCCTCGTCGTCAGAGCTAGCAGGGGAGGAATAGACTGTCTCCCGCCTGCTTCTGGGGGGCTCGGAAGTAGGCATGATGGTAACTGGGACCTGCGAAGAAAGACCGAGAGAATGGAGCGCGAGGTCTTCCCGGCCCCCCCTTCCCCGCCTCTCCGCTTCGAATAACGCTCGACTCTCCTCGCCCTACTTATGGCTACCTCCTCAACCCCTCTCGCCTCGACCTCCGGGGCTCGCCCTTTATCCGTCAACAGCCCAGCCTCCGCGCCTTCCCTTCCCCCAACAACGACTCTAAAGACGCTGGCCCACCCCGGTACCTGAGGCCGCCGCTTCTAAACCCGCAGCGCCTACTCCGCTCCCAGTCGTCCCTGCGGCCCAGCTGACCCCACCAATCAGCAGGCGCAACGGATGTCATGGCAACGGAGACGCCTCCTGCCAGCTATCAGGAGCCCGCCTAGAGCGTCCCCGTCCCCGCTCCGCTTTCGCAGCGGGTGGACCAGGCTCTCTTCTTTTGTACCCCTCCCACCACCAAGCCTTAATTTAACCCTTCCTTCCCTGGGTGTCTCAGAGCCCTTTGATACATGTTCAGTACTCAGAATTGCACGTGGGGCTGTATAATCCTCCCGGCCCTTCTCTCGCCCTCCAGTTATCTCTGGCTGAGTTATTTCAACAATGCGCCGCCTCCGTCACTATTGCAGGCGAATCTTCATTTCACTACCGGGTGTCAAGCTGGCGGGAGTGCTTTGCGCGACCTGCCCAACCTTAGCCAAAGGGCTTAGGTTCTCAGCGAGGCTGGGGCTTGGAATGTGGAAACAATGGCGTTCGAGCGCTGCTGCACGTGCATCTCTCTCAGGTTCTGAATTAAAAAGTCCGCGTCAGCCCCGCCTCCCGTTCACCTATCGGTACGGGGCTAAAAAGAATTGTTTTGCTAGAGAAATTCTCTGCTAGCATAAGGCAAGCGGCCGCAGCTATTGTACCTCCAGCCTCTCCAACTTTAGGAGATTAAGAGCTCCCTTATACAGGTTTCGAAAATCTGGACGATTACTCGATAGCACTCTTCGCTGTCTTCTAGAGGTCGTCTGAATCTTTTTGCAGTACATATATGGTAGCCCTGGTCTTCTGTCATTATGGAAGCAGTTTTTGTACGTTTCTTAAATAGGACTGCAGCAGCTTCCTTGTTAGGGATGCCTCTTTCAGCCAGATGTTACGCCTGCTTATGCAACAATCCTCAAGCGTGAAGACACTTTGGAACTACTCCATTGGTTCCTCACCATCGAGACAGCCAAGTTCTCAATTTGTGGTTGGATCATGGTTTTGGATTATTGTAGCAGCCTGTTTGCTGGCTTACTGGAAGCCTTCCTTTGCCCTTCATTTTTTGTTTTTAGACTTTTTTATCCCTTCATTATTTTTATACATAACTCAAGGTAGCAAACATACCTAATACTCCTTCCACCTGTATTTTCCCTACAACCACCACCCTGTGAGGTTAGCTGGGCTGAGAGTGACTGGCCTACAGTCACCCAGAGGGCTTTTGTGCCTAAGGCAGGACTAAAACCCAGTCTCCTGCTTTCTAGCCTGGCACCTTAACCACTACAGCAACCTGACTCTAGTGCCCAGAATGCTGCTGCTCATACTATTCTGGACCTTATTTTGTCCCACCTCTTTTATTACCAACTGTTACATCGGTTGGAAATTTGAGAAAGGGAGCAACACCAACTGATGGTGTTGGCATATCATGCCCCAAACGCGGGCACACCCACTTAGGTGAAAAATCTCCTGGTGGTTCATGTACCTCAGTGCACAGCCCAATGATCAGACCACGGTCATTTGGGTCTACCCTGCACTAAAATTGCTACATTATGGTTAAGAGCTTCTTCTCAACTGGTTCCATTCTTTGGAAGGATTGGACTTAAGACTTTAAAAAGCCCTAAAAATGCTTTTTCCTGGACCCCTATGAAGTTGCTTTGAGATAAACAAATGCTTACCTGCTACTTTGGATGTATAGAGGTTAGTATTATTATACATCATGAAACATTTAGTTTAGAAACTCCTTATATTGTAATTGATTGGAATACATTATTGTATCAACTGTTTTAGTCTGTCTATACTGCACTTAGTTATAAGTGCTTAATAAATAAAACTATTATTAGTACTCCTCGCTGTGTGGGTGTGTTTCAATAAATAAAAATGTTCAGATCTGAAAGAAATGCTGTCTGAAGCAGGATCTCATTAAGCTAAAGCTTTAACTACTAAGACAGTAACATCACCATATTAAATTGGCACCTCACAATCCATAGTTGAAGTATGATGTACACCTAATGGGGATGATCTGAACCAGTAAGGGTTAAATGGGAGTAAATAAGTAGAGTCAGAATTTTTCCTTGGAGACTGAAAGATTTCAAAATGTATTTGGGACTTGGAGATACTGAGATATTTTGAGCCTTGAGACAATTTTGAGAACTCCTGAGTACATGTATTTCCAACTTGATTCAGCATTTCTAGAGTTGTTGGGTATGGGGAAAATATATGTATCCACTATACATTTCAAGGAGGGCAGTATGTCAGCAGATCAGGAGGGGAAAATCTCATCCCATCCTGGCTTAAAGCTAGCTCTTAAAACCTTGTTATATTCAATTTGTGAAACTGTGACACCTAATCCCTGTGCAAGGGAAGCAATTATGCCCCACAAATTTCTGCTTCACCCTGAAATCCAAGCAGCATTGGATCAGAACAAGGAAATGAGCCATGAATCAAAGTGTAACATGATAGTTTAGACTTTTTGGCACTCTCCCATGAAATAGCAAATTCCTGATGGGACTTTTTTTGGATTTAGTCCTACCATTGGGGGAATATTGCAATTGATTTATATCCAGTTGTGATAATAGCAGGAACACAAATAATTGTACTAGGAGTTACTGTTTGGGGGAACACACACAGGCCAACAACTATGAACGTGCAGGAAAAAGGAAGATATTGATCTGATGACAATGACCTGGTGAATGTTCATGACTACAATATTGCCTGTAATACTGTATGTAAAGATACATGGCATTGACCTGTAGCATTAGGTTAAATAAGTAAATTTAAGAGATATTAGTATAAAAACAGAACATACTAGTACTTCTTTCTTGTTTTCAGTTTTCTATGATTTTACTATGAACGATTTAGGCTTACAAAATTATAGTATACAAGAAGGATAATAGTTCATATTTTGTACAAGTTAAGTAATTTTGATACACAAAGCTTCTGGTTTTATTATAATAATATACAACTGAAGTTTATTTACAATAGAAAAAATATATATAAACCACAATTTAAACATTCTGCTACTGGCAGCTTCTATATTTCAGGAGGTAGCTTTAATTAACAAATATGCACTGAAGCCACATTTCCCATCAAGTGTTCTACCAAATAATTTACAAAGAAATTCTTTTTATGCACACTATGTACAGTTTAATTTTCCTAACTGCAATTCTAATGTTAATTATTTAGTAAAAAAAAATGTGCCAGAATTTCTGGTTTGGCAGTTGAATTGCTCTCACTTAATATTTTGTTCTAAAAAATAAAAGATTTAGCTTATGCATTCATAATTTTATGATGCTCAGACTTCAAACTAAGGGCATTAATTAAAATTATACTTTGTAATTGAGAAAAAGATTCTTAATTCTAAAATGCAATGATCTGTGTATCTCCTTGCTTCCCCTTTTAAGGAGGGTCAAGCCTGGTTTCACATTTCTGTAATATAACAATGGAACAGAAGATCCTAAGTATAGCTACCTTACATTGTTCTATCTCTAAATTTCTGAACATCTCAATGTCTTTTACTCCTATAAAACCTATTCTACTTGTTAATATAGTCTACATCAGCCCTTCCTGTGTACCTTCCAGATGTGTAGGACCCCCATTCTGAGAATTCCTAATCTGCATCTGGAGGGCACCAAGCTGGGGAAAGCTATACTATGTGCTGTAGTTTCACACAAAATGATACTGTCTACTTAAAAGATTTTCATCTACACAAAGTAGAGTTAGATTCTTTTTTGCTGTCAAAAGAATATATAACCCAACACACACATGTAAGTTTAAAGGATGATGGAGAATTCTGTTGCCTTTGTTAGGCAGGCATGAGAATACCCACAGTATGTCTGCAGCCCATTTTCCAATGTATACAGCTGAGAACATCCCCATTTTGGAGGCTAGAAACGATTATAATGACAGAACTCCAAAATAATCTCAAGATTGTAGGAATGTTCTAATAGTATATATTTGAATCAAAGGTTAAATATTAGTGCAGCAAACCTGAGTTTGATGTCCATGTAAGTATGCAAAAAATCAATTTCAAACTGTTTTCAAGCAGTATTCTCTAGATAAAGGTAACTATGTCAAACTACTCAGAATATACTATAGGGGTGATAAGTATTTGACTGAAATAAATATTTTTAATTATAGACAAATTAGCCCATAATTTGACTTAAGAAAACACAGAATGTTTTGTCTGTATTTATCTCACAGTTGCATATGGGAAAAATACTCCCATCTTTTGGCCCTGCAGTAAATTGTCCTGAGATTCAGTCAAAAATGCTATACAAAAGTTAGCAACACCCCCCCACCCCAGCTCCAAAAAAAATCTATAATATTCTTTTGTATTGTGCTTATTTATAAAAGTTATCAGGATCAATATCACAACAGAAAAATGAAATTACAACTGCATAACATGGAAATAAGTCTAAAACATAATATATAGTTGCTTGCAAAAAGTTTTAAAAAACCGGATTACAAATTTTGGTTTTCTAATTATTTACAGTAAGAGCAACAGCTCTTATTTTAAATGTATAGTTCAGGGTACTTAGGCCTACATCCCTTATTTATAATTAATATCATACAATGATTAATAAAAGTGCTTTCAGATGAAAGAGTGAAACAGGCATGGTCTATATGAAACATTATGCTTCCTCCTTTTTAGCATATGGTTTGCTTTCAGTCTTTAATCCTCGGGGTGTTGTAGGCATAACGAACTAATGGGAAGCCTCTGCTCTGATAAAAACAAGCACGTCCACAGGCCTGTACTTGATCTGAACTATCCGATACAAATGAGTCTTCTTCATCAGCGTAATCAGAATGGGCAGACTGCGTACCACAATCTGACCAACAGCCATCAGGCCTTTGACAAGGCACTATGGTCAGAGCAGGACAACTGTGAGATTTTACTAAATGTTTACATGGTGCAGGCTTGGATATAAGAAGTGACTCACAACATTCACACATGGTTAAGCTGCCCTGCAAATGTGTGTACATGCCACAGTCATAGTAGAAATCGTGAGTCCTACATCCAGTTTGTGTATTGACAGCAACTGTTCCAGTCCCATTCCTCTTGGTGATGTGCCATCTCAGTAATTTCCAATCTTCCTTGAATTTGGGGTTGAAGAACACATATAAAACTGGGTTCAAACAAGCAGGCAGTGGGAAAAATATCAGAGTGACAGACTTCATAATTTCAGGGCTTATAGTGATTGCAGTGATGAGTGGAGCGAAAGAGAAAAATGCAACAGGGCAAAAAAAGATGCAGTTGGTGAAGATTAACCAAGCAACATGTTTAATCATGCTAGCTTGATTGTTCTTGGAGAGATCTTCCTTTTCTAGCTTGCAGTAAAGTTTTGTATAAATAACAGCCATTAGCAAAAAGGCTAATGAGTTAAGCAGCACTAGTGTAACCGTGAAGCCCAAAGAGGGGGCTTCTTCAGTAGGAAAGGGTAAGCAAAGGGGTGACCCAGAATATTCTCCTTTATGGAAGACTGGCAAGCATGCTGCTATCAATGTACACAAGAATGCAAACATGGCTGCAATTCGAAAGTGGTTCTGATGGTTGCTTTTACCCTTTCTAATGATTTCCTTGGCAGACAAGCTCCGCTCAATAGTAGCTAACAGAAGGAAAAAAATGGCCCCTTCTGAAGAGAATATGGCCAGAAACCGAGCCACCTTACAGCCACTGCCGGTTTCCCACCAAATACCGAATTCAGCAAACCGTCCCCAAGAAACTGCATCCAGGAAAGTTAATATACCCGTGTAGATTCCCATCAGTAAATTAGAGATAGAAATCAATCCAATGAACAATTTGACAGAAGGAAGTGAAGTAGAAGCAACAAATATACTTAAGATGACAAGCATATTGAAGAATAAGGCAACCAAAAAAATGAACCAGACTGTAAGACGAATCATCCAACTTCCCAGCAGGTATTCACATGGCTTGAAAGCACCTAAAACAGTGGAAAAAAAATGTGCTAAGAAAAAAAGATTGCCAGCATAGTGTGATATAACAGACAAGTGTCATTTCTGAAAACAGCATAAGGAACTTTTACACTCAAGATTAGATTAATGGAAAAGATATGCAGGTGGAGCAATTTGGTAAGAAAATATTCTTGAAGTAACAACAAACGAAGACACACTTGACAAGCTATTTTTATGACCAATGTGAAATAGATCAAAGTTGAGTTTTATGACCAATGTGAAATAGATCAAAGTTCACCTAAACAACCGACTTGCACTTATATGGCATATAGGCATATGCTGATTTGAAGGTTTCTTTTCCGGCAACCTGTTCTGAATTGTGTTTTTAAAATATATTTCTTTACGGCACTTCTAAATTGCCCTTCATCAAGTAGATTCTAGCACAGCATTTGATTACCAAAAATTACACAAAAATGAAAACAACATCCTTCCCCAAAAAGGTATTAGATAGCAGTAAAGAATTATATAAATTATGATAAGCACCTTTTTAAAAAGCCACTCGGCTATCTTCAAGATGGATTTTATGCCCTATGATCAAAATGTTGGAATAAAAATTGTAGTAGTAGTACTAATAGCAAGAGCAGCAATGATAGTACTGATTATCACTGGTCACTGATAAATTATTAATTTAGGAGTTTATCTCATAGTTTTTGTGCTCAAATTGTGGAATCAAAATGGAGGATACAAATGCAAAATAATCAAGGCTTCACTGCAGTGTTTATTAGACTGTATGTACTGGAGGGGGACCCCACTAAAGGTTAGTGGGAGACACTCCCCCAGAGGCAAAATGGGTGCCCTGATATTTATGTAGTTCTACAAGAAGGGGAAGGGAAAAGAACGCATATGCATACATATTCATATGATGATGCAGGCATACCTAAATAAGCAATACTTCT